GACACGAGAGCGGTTGCATAAGCCCGCTTTAATGCTTTTTTAAAAGCAGAAGGGCGGGCTAAAAAGAGTTCTCAAAAGAGTGCTCAAAATCAATACAGTTCTTGCTTTTTATAATACAAAGTCACAAATACAAATTTCACGCATTTATAAAAGCGTACACGCCATTGGCATATTAATTAAAGGATACATGTCATGTACACTTTATTTGAAGTAGACAATGTACGCATTGGAACTGACAGAGTGGGCTGTCGCAAATCATCACACATGGTTTAATTAAAAATCACTACAAAAGTTAAAAATTTACAAAGATATTTTCCACAGTGCTCGAAACAACCTAAAAAAAGGACTAAAATAACGCATTCCGATAAAGCTGATGTGCAGAAAAATGCTGGGAACAAGAAAACCGAAGTCATCAGGTTGAAGCAGAGAGGTTTCCGTTTTCTTCTTCCCCTATTCTTCGTTAGCTTTACCGGTCACCGATAGATTTAAAATGCGCAACATGGCGGCATTCAGGGCTCCGTTAAGTATGACTTAACAACCTTTAATGTTGTAACTTTTAATCGAGGGGTCTACAACTCGTATTATCAAAAGTACACGACCCTACAATCACTTATAATCACGCCTATAATCTATAATCCTCTATAATCTTTACCTATACATTCCTAAAATCTTGATGCCAAACCTACGTGTTTGAGAGAGGGCAAGTGTGTAAAACTCTATGAATCTTTGCAGTAAGGTCAAATCTAACAACACCATTGGAAAGAGAATTGAAATCTGATTCAAAACCATCTATGGCAAATAGTTGAATTTCTAATTCCTACGCTTCGATGAAAGATGTCAAAAGAATTTAGCAGAATATCGTTACTCTCATGACCAAAATAGATAGTCTTCAACTATCTCCAAACTTAGTTTGCAAGGTCCTCTAAGGTCCCTTCACATTCTCTAAAATTTTCAGAAGAGGAAGCTGCAAACCATGTTTGGTGATGGTTGAAGACAATCTGTTTTTGTTGAGAGAGTAACGATATTCCACAATTTTATTTTATTTTATACCTTTAATCAAATGGTAGGAATTAGAAATCCAACATTTGGCCACAGATGGTTTTGAGTCAGTTTTTAATTCTCTTTCCAATAGTGTATTCAGTTTTGACCTTACTGCAAAGATTCATACAGTTTTACTTATACCCCCTCTCAAAGACGCAGTCTTTTGCATCACAATTTTAGGAATTTAACGGTCTCTCAAACCGTTTGAGCCACAGAGCCCAGATTTGGAGTGGGATCTTACTTCTTAAATACTCTTCTTTGTGAGACAAAAACCAAAATCGTTTTCCAGATTTGAAATCTTGGATCGATTAGGTAATCATGACTGTCTAAGTATCCCCCCCCTCCCCATTCCCTTCCTGAGCGCACGGTATCTCCCCGTGCTGGGACACGCCGGGAAAGTGGTATTCCCTCCTCTTCCTTATCATTCTACATTCGTTATAATCTCAATAATCTCTCTATAATCTTTTTATAATCTTATAATCATTCTATAATCATGTAACCATTCTTTAATCTTATAATCATTCTATAATCTTATAATCATGCTATAATCCTTATAATCAGTAGTCAAAAGTACACGGCTGAGGCGAGTTGTAGACCCCTCGCTTTTAATGCAGCCTTTTAAGAATAAGTTAGTGATACGACCCGTCCAACTTTTCTCTCCAGTACCAACGGTCAATATCGGTCATAGTTGAAAGACCATGACTTTATCTTTTACTGAAACATGTGCTTTTCTTTTGATACGTTGCGTACAGTTATGAGCCAAACTTTCGCACAAAAGTAGCAGTTTTCAGTCTGTTTCGTGCAAACTTGATAGAGTCTCACACGTCTCGCTTTAACTCGTCAACTCGCCAATTCGTTGTTCACCTATTTTGAGAGTAGGGAACCTCTCGACTCGACTCTGGCTGATGGGAGCGCGGAGAAGACTGCGGTAGAGCGAAGAGTTGGTCCATGAATCGTCCAGACTTTTCCTTTCCCGGATAAAAATGGTTGGTATACAAATTTTATAAAATGTTATAAAAATTTATAAAATGGTTTAAAAAGGCAAACACCGTTATAAAAATTTAAATGAAATTTTATAAATGTTTACTTTATTTGGTAAAACTTTATACAGTGGTCTGTATAATAAACTTTTATAAAAGCTTATAAACATTGTATTCGATTTTATAAAAACGTATACAGACCTCTGTATACAGTTTTACCAAATATCATAACGTTTATAAAATTTCATTTAAATTTTTATAACGGTGTATAACTTTTTATAACATTTTATAAATTTTAATAACATTTAATAAAATTTGTATACAAACCATTTTTACCCGGATTCATGGAGTCTCCTCCGATCTTCAATCAGAACAGTCTTTAAATCCGAGACTTCCCAACGGTAGTTCAAGAAAGTATACCCTCTAGCGTAACTGTGGTTTCCAGACGTGGTTGCCGAACATACAGGCGCAAGTCGACGATGACGGGCTCACGCCCTTGCACCTCGCATCGCGGAATGGGCACTCAAGAGTGTTAAAAGCCTTGCTGGAGATGAAGTCTCAAACGGGTGGCCCGCCACAGCCTGCGCTGGCATACCCACAACCTCCACTGGCAGACCCGCAGCCACCACTGATACTTGCGGCTACTTATGGTCACTACGACACGATCGCCGCTTTCTGCGAGGCTGCTCCTTTAGAAATCCTGCGGTGCAAGGACAACAAAGGCATCACGGCCTTGCATGCGGCCTCAAAGGAGGGCCACACTAGTGTGGTCGAACTTCTTCTGAGGCACGGGGCTTCACCGATGACCAGAGACGACTTGCAGCGCACCAGTTTGCACCACGCAGCCATCAAGGGGCAGAAGGGCGTCATCTGTGCGCTCCTAAAGCACGCGATCCTTTCATCGGGTGCGACTGGAGAAACATCGGGGCAAAGACTGGACAGAGAAGTAACACACAGTAAGTCCGTAACTTCAGGTTGTCTAATCAAGGATTACTTATCGGGTCTCATGTCACTGTGAAAAAAGTAGGTAAGTTTACAGGAAAATTTTCCTTGACGCAAGTTGTAAAATTACAATTTGTAATCGTAAAAAAAAATGCAGTACGTATCGACTTCAAACCCCTTATGGCGAGCAAAAAATGTGCAGTCGTAAATTAACAACTTAAATTGTAGTTCAAGTTTACAATTTTTTTGTAAATTTACGACGGTATTTTTCACAGTGATGTGGAGAGGGCTTCCTTAAAAATATCGTCACCCTTCGTCTGCTGATTTAATACCGAGGGGGAAATCACTTGAGTTCGTAGCATACGGGCTATTTCGTTTGATTTCTCCCCGTACAGAAAAATTCAGCCTCAGCATGGGTCTAGAGTGGCTCCGTCGTAGCCATTCTCAACACATCGCGGAGGATCGCTGTGATCAGTCTCCAGCTTTTGCGTAGCCGAGGCGTAGCCATCGCGAATGGCTCCGCAAAAGGTAACTTAATGACAGAAAGAGCCATTTCGCAGCCGCCTTGGAGCCAAACATAGGCCGGCACCTGGACGACGGGGAGCCATTTCAGAGCCATCGGGGGGCCTTACTGAGGACACTTTAGATACGTTTTGGAGCCAGTTTCGGGCCGTCTAAAGGACAACCTGGAGCCAATCTGGAGCCAACCTAGAGCCAACCTGGAGCCAACCTGGAGCCAATCTGGAGCCAACCTAGAGCCAACCTGGAGCCAACCTGGAGCCAACCTGGAGCCAACCTGGAGCCAACCTGGAGCCAGGTGCCGGACTATGTTTGGCTCCAAGGCGGCTGCGGAATGGCTCTTTCCATCATTAAGTTACCTTTTGCGGAGCCATTCGCGATGGCTATGCCTCGGCTACACAAAAGCTGGAGACTGATCACAGCGAGCCTCCGCGATGTGTTGAGAATGGCTACGACGGAGCCATCCTGAGGCTCTACTTTTTTCTGTACGGGTCCTGCCATTTCCGGTATTTCTCGGGTATTTCTCGGCTATTTTGGATTATTTTGGGGTATTTCGCAGCATTTCGGGGGTTTTCGCGACTATTTTCCTCCTACGGCGCGTTTTTTGGGTCTATTTCACTGTAATTCGCCTTTAATCCGGACTATTTCGGGGAAAGGTGGGAAGGTGTACGAACGCAAGTGATTTCCCCCTCGTTGAATACCCCGTCTGCTAGAGTGTCCCAGTCCTGCAAAAATTTGTGCCGCTGCAGGAACAGACGGTCAGGGCCCCGGGCCCCGGTACACTGCGGGTTGCCTATCCCGCGGGCGTTATCGAATCAATGTATAGTAAATGTCACCTAACCACAAGGAGCAATTACTTTCATAATTTTTCATTCTTTGTTCTTTAGCGACGATTCCCCGAAACCCTTTGTTTCACAGGTTCTGCCCTGTTTAGTTTGTGAGAAGTATAGGTGGATCATAAAGATGAACAAACATTCGACTTTCTAGGGACAAAAGTCTATTCAGATGTTGTGTGTTCCTTTACATTTAGAGTATTCTTTCACGTTACAGTTACTAATTTGTCTTAGCGATTAGCGAAGTCTATTGCTCCAGTGGTGGTGGTGATTAAAAAGTTTCGCGCGCGCGTGTGTGTATGTGTGTCTGTTATTACGATTACTCGAGAACGGTTTAAGCTAGGTACGTGAAATTTTTTCTGTAACTTTAAATCATAAAAAGCAAGACCTGTTTAGATTTTCAGACCTCTAGCTTAAAAATTGACATGTCAAAAAATCAAAAGCAGAAAGCCCAAAATACGTCCTAAAAATATTTGTATTACATTATTCAAATTGGAGAACTCGTCAAAGTAAGGTCTGTAGGACCAAAATTTCGTCCGTTAGTTTGGCTCTATCTCTAACCGTTTAGGCGCCAGAGGGCGATTTCTACTTGGGAATGACCCCACATTTCAATGTTTTTCTCAATTATTTGATGGTCTACGGTGGTGCTGTTACTCGTCAAAATAAAATCCCAAGGAGCAAAATTTGTGACTTTTGCGGCCGATGGCTTATTTACGACTCTGCCTTTTGCCCGACTCGGGCGTCAGCGCTGCAAGGCCTGGGTAGATGTATATTGCTGCTCGTCGCAGCGTAACAGTGTTTCGTGCGATATCGTGAAGCCTGTTAAGCGAGACGTTGTCTGGTGTACATCTACCTAGTGATAAATTCGTATCTTATTTATGCTACACTTTTGTCACCATCAAAATTTACATCAAACGTTTTGTAAATTTAAAACAGATTTTTTAAGATTGGGACGACTCGAAACTTAATAGGGTGCTTCGCAATTACTCCGCCATTAAAGCATTCTGGTTAGAGCTGAAAAACAGAAGAACGCAGGAAACAAGAAAAAGAAAGTCACTATGTGCAAGCGTAGGAATTTCCGGTTTCTTTTTCCCCGCATCCGCGTCTGCATCTGCATTCCAGCTTTACCAAAATGCTTTATTACTGGCAATTGTTTTATTAAGTGGGTTACTGACAAACACAAATTAGGTAACAAATTGGCCGATGTCGACCGGATGCAGATTTGAATTTAGCAAGTGACGAATGAGTATCTTTTTTCTGGACACTAATTGTTTTTTGTCTATCATTAAAATGCAAATTCCTTACTTGATAGATGGTGGTGGTGATAAGAGTGGTGGAAGGGGAAAGAGGGAGGGGGTTCTTTGCTTTCTGGTAGAGACATTCATTGGGACTGTTTAAAAAAAATCCTTTCAGCTTTAGTATCGTTTGGTGAACATTTGACCGTTCAATGTTTTAGGTCCTCACCTTCAACCTGAATGGTGCGCAGCGTGTTCACAAGTGTGGGTTCGTCCTGTCAGCGCGGAGCAGTCCGGCACCGTGCATCGTGCAAAAAACTCACCTTGTCGCGAATGTGGTAAGCAGGGCTAATTTTAATTTTGAGAAAGCAAAAGCTGAAAGCAAAAACAAAACTATGTGAAGGGTGGAGTGGAGTGAAAATCTAGGATTGAAGAAGTACACCTGAAATAATTAACTTCAAAATATCCTTCGACTATCGGCAGAGTCCATTTAGAACCCTCTTCTGACCTTCAACCCCCTGCCAAGAGGTCAAAGTTGGGTCTTAGAGGGAAATTGACACTGTTCGCTCCCCTGGACCCCTCACCCCCATGCATAATCCTGGAAACAGCTACATGCGGTTCGGGGCATAATTTATGTAGGAATAAGATTCCTCAGGAGTCAAACCTCTGTGCGATAACAACTTCAGCGATCTTCAGCAGGCCCCGGAGACATTTAAGGTGAAAAACGGAGGTATGCTTGCAAAACTATTTCCGGCACTCCCGTTTGTCGTACGTCATGACGTGGGTAAAAAAACCATGGGGCTGACCATAGGCAATGGACATAAATTAAACCATGGATTTTTGTGACCATAGATTTATGGAACCAGTAAACCATGAAAACAACAGTTGATCATAGGTGGATGGATTGCATGGCCATGGCTATTGTGCTCCATGGCAAGGGATGACCATGAGAATAGGGTATTTCGGGTAACCCAAGCAGCGGAAACGGAACGGCCGAGCGGCTCCTGGATCCGTCTCAGCCTGCGAACTGCGCATGCGCAGTAGACTCTGCGCCGCCCCGCCACCTCCCCCTCTCCCCCGCGCATCAGCGGCAGAGATGGAACCAGCGGTGGACTAGGCAGTTCCGTTTCCGCCGCACCGCTTACCCGAAATACCCTATTGGCTCGCATGGTCACAACTAAGTCCATGAATGTGTCCATGGTTACTTTTACCATTGTCATGTAGAACGTCCACGAACACACGTTGTTCAACTACAGCGAGACCGGCCCAGGCTGTTTAGGGAACGGACCGTGTAGCTGATAAGGATGAGCCCAGTTCTGGTCTGGGGGACCTTCAGGTTAATGGGGAGACTAGGAATGAGAAGTCTGGATTACCTTGTTCACAACGCTTGGTCTCTCCGAGACTCCCTCAGGCATGCTCGTCACCTGGCGGCCCCCCACCGACCGACGAGCCACTCGCTTTCAGCCGGGTACGCGGCCTACCCATCTAAGTCAGCACTTTCAGCAGGGCAGTGGCACCCCGTTGCGTACCGAGCAACAACGTTTGGACATGATACTGTTGTGAATGGACACAAAGACCATGACACAACAATGGCCAACTTTTTTGGTAATGGACATAGGATGTTTTCCTCATGGTCTACGTTTATCATCATGGCTAGCGTTTGTGTCCATGGACGTGGAGTAATGGTCACAACCTTTGACCAAAGACCATTTCACCCGAGCGCTTTTCAACCTCCCGAAGAACAAAAATACCGGAAGTCGGGTAGTATATGGAACGCTCCTAGCCGTTAAACACGTTAGATTGAAGCGGTTTGTGCCGTAAGAATATATTTTTGACTAAATTTAGGTCGGAGAAGAGT